TGTCTGTCTTTCTGTCTCTCTGTCTGTCTGTCTGTCTCTCGGTCTGTCTATCTATCTGTCCGTCGTTTTGTCTGTCTGTCTTTCCTCTGTCTGTCTGTCTGTCTATCGATTTATATATTTATAAATATATTATTCAGATTAAACGTGTTCGCAACACCGGGTGACTTTTTGGTTGACATCTCTTTCAGGGCCAGTCCACTGAAGAATCAATGCTATAATTCGATGTTTTTGTATGTGGTTGGATGCTACCAACCGCAGAAACGTGTAAATTAGATCAAGTCACGTTATTGCATATAATTATACCATTATTTGCGTACGCGGGTCCAAAATTACCACGCGGGCGATTTGACTCAGACAACGGTTGTTGAAGGCGGATAGTCTTTGTACATAATGTGCTCGGAGAGGCCAAGTTTCGAAGCCGTAGAGCAACACGGTGCGTACCGTTGGGAAATACACACGCCCTTTCACTGAAAGGGCTATGTCGCACTGGCGCCAGATAAGCCTTAGATTGGCTTTCGCCAATCTAGCTTTGATTATGCGTTAAGAGATCTCGCCCGCGCCTCTGCTAGCCGTTATGCAACTCCCTAAGCACATAAAGTTTTCGACTACTTTCAGCGTGTTGTTACCCATCGAAAGTGCTGGAACGGGCTTCTGCCAATCTTGCAATAAGACCTTCCATTTCGAAGGCGCAAGGGATATACCACAACGAGTAAGCTCGATCATCAAACACTTTAGCGACTCTTGAACCGTCGATGCGTTCGCATCAAAATACTCTAAGTCTACGACTTGCTCTCCAAGAAGAAGCTCAATGCTAGCGTTCGTTACGCTCAGTAACGTTTTCCACAGAACGTCATCTATGACAAAAGTTGAGAGAGATAGAGCAACCCTGTCGTACTCCGCTAGTGACAGGAAACAAGGGCAAGAATTTAACATAGACCCTAATCATCTACGAGGTCTGACGGTAGAGTGCTTTTAGAAGCAATACACTTCTCAAGTACTCCGTCTCCTCACAAACAGTTCCACCGCACAGAGCGACCAATAGAATCGAAGGCCGCTCTGATGTCCAAACATAGGACAATAGTTTGTCGTCTATATGTATGGCGGTGTTCTAGCGGCTGCCGAAGGGTGATTATTTGATCGATGCAACCACGTCGTGCACGAAACTCGACCTGTTCTTCGTGAACTTGTCTTCCACGAAATAGGTTTAATCTCCGTAACAAGACTGAGGCTAACAGCTTCGGCACTTTTGGAATCAGACTTATGCCCCCGTGGTTGGAACAGGCGTTGCGACAGCTTTCGTACATGGGTGTAACAATCGATTCTCTATATGTTTGGGGGTATACTTTCGTCTTCCCAGATCTTTGAACGCGGTCTGGCAAGCTCTCTCACGAGAGCTTTTTCACCATTTTTAAAGAGGACCAGTGGCACTTTGTCTGCTCCAGGCGATGGTGATGATCCTTTCTGTTTACTTGTTCGTGATGCCTCCACTAGAATGGAAACGGAAACAAAACGACCAAAACCGACGCAAGAAAGTGCCGAACTAATGAATGAGAAAACTGAAGCTGGAAATCAGTTTACCCTTTGTGGTTACTCATTTTAGCACGATTACCAGAACCATAAAAGCCTCTGAGATTTAAAAATACTCATCAAGGTTCGAAAATGAGACTTGATAATAAATGCCCATCCCTAAACAACTGATCGCTTAACGAATCAATATTCCGGACAAAGTTTTCTGTTGGATGTGGGTCATTCTCCCATTATCACCATTATATTAGATTGCGTCAGCTATTCTTTCTGAATACACTGATTCGTGCCCTACTTTTGCACTTGATTACTGGTGTCCAGTTGCATTGAAATCGCTAAGTTGACTTGTTTTTGTCGCGTTCTGTTGGATAGTGTAAAAACAGGGATATATTTATCTCACTAACTAGTACTAGTTTTGACCCCCG